ATAATCGTTGAGTATGAATTTTTCTGGCTTATTAGTGATCGATGAATTCTTGGAGCATTTAGAGTACTCTGTATATTTTTAGTCAGCTTTTCTAATAGTTTCATGTCCGTAATTCGTGGTCCGCTTTACTGTTTGATATAACGTTTACTGGAATTTGATATCATAAGAAAACTTTGTTATTCTACAGCTTAACCGATGCTTTAGTTTGTTTATCCTTTCTTTCAAAATGTTACTTAACACAGGCTTGTCATGCTGCTGTTTTCGTGAATTCAATGGATTCAGTTCTCTTAAATTGTAATACTTTGATGTTAATACTTAGTGCTATCAATATGCCAATCACTAACTTAGGAACTTAGTTGTGAAAAATAATTGCACGCACGCTATTTAGTGCCTAAGTAAATCACCTTTTATTTATCGAGACTAATTAACTTAGTGTCATCACATAAATTGGACAGTAACTAAGATAAACATCAGTTTGTCTCTAAGTGTGTATGTTGTCTAGTGGTTGTTTCAATGAAATATGCATTTGGCGAAAACTTATGACATATAAAGATCCTATCAATATATACGTATGTTACGTAATTTTTCCCGATATTAATTTTGTAATTATGAGCTTGGAATACAGCTGTATGTCGTATTCTTTTTATTCTGAATGATTTTTAGTAGATATTTATAGCCAACTTTCCTACGAGTTTCTATTTCCCTTCACTGAATGTAATCAGTAGACTACGTTTTTTCCGTTCATATCAACTAATGAATTTAAAGAGCAAAAAAAACAGTGAAAATTCATGTTCGAAATAGTTACAGACAATATGTACTGGTTCTTCGTTTTTCGAAGTCCTTGTAATTTGTTTTACTTTCCAGATAATAAAATTGTCACTGGAAATGGGAAATTCCAAGCTGTGCAAGAAAAGCATTATGAAAAGCATTCTTATTCTTCCAGCATTCATCAGAAATCTTCTAAACGCCATAAAAATGAAAAAGAAACGGATACGGCCGACACAATTTCACGTTCACATTCCAAACATTCACATAAAAGGAAAACAAATTCACGGCATTCCCATCGTAGTCATAAAAGAGATTTTCGTGGTTCGTCAACAGCTTCTTCAGAATCTTCAAGTTCGAATCATGGGAACCAAAAAGTAGGATCCTCTCGATTCAGTCGATCCTCAGAAGATCACAGTGGTAATGTTCGGTCACCGAAACCTTATTTTACGAAGTCCAGTCATTCGAAACATTCTCATCATAAAAGTCATCATTAGATTTGTACACTTTCCTGTACTAAGTGTTAACCTGTCTTCGGTTTGCACTTATAAACCTTAGTTCACAAGTGAGATTTCAGACAGGTAATTTTATCATTTGGTAAGTGAATTTTATGACTTTCAAATCAAACCTTATTTCTCATGATTGACTTAACAATAGTAACATGGTATTTTATTCATCTTATTTCGGCAGTACAACGTTACTGCATTAACTGTAAGATACAGTGAACCTGAATTTAATATATCAGTCTACAGTACGCACTTTTGGAAAGCAAGTTTATGCGCTTCATTTTGAGTTGGCATACAATATCTATTCATGCTTATGGTATTTGTTTGGTTTAAAATATATGTTTAAGTTCTAGACACATCCTTCTTTTTGCTACAGTTCTTACAGTCGTTGTTGTTCTATTTAATTTCGGTCTTCTCAACTATATCTCTTTGACAATTTCATTCACAACACTTCCTTGCAAATGTTCTCAATGTGCGCCAATAAACTGATGATCTCCTACAGGTCTCCGCGTTCCGGTATTGAATAACGCTACCACTACAACTAGACAGACTATTGTACACAAAAACCAAAGTTTACTGATTAACTTTCTCATACAGTTACTTTTACGTTTATCCGCCTTTTTTCCTATATTATTCTGATCAACTGACACAGTACTTCAAGTAAATCTTGAAACAGAGTAGCCGTTTTTTGAAATTTATTGATTTCAACATTCTTTCAGTCAGTAATTTGCGTTCCCGAATTATCGTCGAATTTGTCTTTGCTTTTTAGGTATGGAAATATTCGGTTTCCCAACAATACAACTGTTAATATGATCTTAATTTCTTTTTCATATAAATATGTGTACAAAGTACGAATCATTTGTCTACTTAAAGATAATCTACTGCCAGTCTCCATCTTATTCTTTGTCTTATTGATTATGCCAGCTTTAGTTGTAAGGTATATATCTAAACAACATCACGCAGATTATCTAGAAAGTGTAAAGTATAATCATATGTGATATTTATTGACGATGCATCAATTTTCAGAATTAGGTCATAGGCTTGTATATTAAGTTGTTGCTGATTAAGTACTTGAAACTCTGGTTCAGCTCCTCTTGTGTTAATAACATTTTGAGAACACAAATGCTTGTTTTGTTTCTTTTGTGGTATCCTAACATTTCTTGAGTCTTTAAATGAATAGAAAGGTTCGAATAGATGAAAAGACATTTTAATAAACTCACACATGTAACATAAACTTACTAATTCACCATAGAGTTTTGAGACTACCAGAATAAGTAAAAATGATTCATACTCAGACAATCAAGTCGTTTTGTTCAAATAAGTGTTTAGTGTTCAGAAAAACTAATTATTTATGACAAAATAAGATACACAAATAATGTTTTTAGTTTCCCCATAAAATTTAAGGCATTTCTACTTTTATGAAAATGGTTCAGATTACCAAATAAATTACATTAAGAATTAATAAATGAAATGCATTGATATGATGTAGCTGAATGATCTCTTATGTGACCAAATATTGACATTAACCTCTTTATGTACTAATGTTACAAGGAGTCTTCTAGCCGGAAAAATAGGTATTTATGGTCAAGTTACTTGTTATGTAAAAAAAAAGTATAAATGAACAATATTAAAAGCTAAGCTCAACATGAACGATTAAAATATACAGGTTTAGTTCACTACGATGCTAAACCAAATCATATTATCCAATAGTATCAACTTTTAAAATGCATATGTTAAATAAGGTCAACCAAAGTTTATTTTTGTCTACAAGATTTACAGACTCTCCACCCTCAACACTAACCTCAGGTGAGATTAAAGAGTCGATCCTAAGGTTGGTAAACATTAGATGAGTGGCTTTATTCTCCACGAAACGAATCTCTGATTCCTTGACCGTCAAATGTATTTACGTCTTACGTGCTGGTTGTTACAATCATACACTAATCAAGCTTGAATTAGATGCGGTTATTGAAGTAATCTTAGTCGGTGGCCAAACTTCAAATTTGATCACTGGATAAGGGTGTAAGATTCATAATGTTCTGCAAGGATTTCGTAAATCGAACAGAAACCGTATATCCGTTGGTTCATTTACGTCAGTAATTAACACAGGTTAATCACTCATTGGAGGACGACGTCTTTCAAACAAGGTGTGATAAATCATGATGATTTTTTTCGTTATGAGTACTAAACAGTTTAAGGTAAACCAAGATAAAGCGTCCTTAATTTGCACTGCAATTTCTCATTTTGTGTATCCGACGGATTAATTTACTACAGTAAATTCCAGAAACACTTCGATGGTGCCTAACTAGTGACCAGTTATACTGAGTCTCAAGTCAGTACTGATAAACTTTTCGAACTAGTTTCTACGCATGAGAGTATTTTAGTGACTGGATGTTACCTGTGTTCAAAATGTCTCAAGGTCCTCATAAATAAAGATTGCTGGGCAATACTCAATTCTGTATTGCTGAGTATTACCAATGTACTACAGATCTAAATTTGAAAGTCCGTCTACGCATTTCTAAGTTCCTTCCAAAAAGGAGTATCACGAAATAGACGCATTATTCCTTTTGGAAGGGCTTTAATTGTTTCGCTTACTACAATGGTAGTACATCTCCGCAATATTGCGAAGTTGTGAGTAACAAAAATATTAAGAGCCGCTTGATTTTTTAAGTCGAAAGTGGTTTTTCTGACTTCTTATTTTGGATGTATGCGAGCATATTTCAGCCAAATTATTCGTCAAAATGACCTGAGAAAATGCAAAATCGATCGTCTGGTATTTCATAAAATTACGATTCGTCAGAAACTGAACTTGTGTTTGTAACTAAGTGGAAAAATTCGGCCTATGGTTGGTAATGTTAGGAATCTCCTGATACAAATTGCAATTGAATGTTGGATTCGCATTTTTAAAACTATCACTTAGCGAAAGTCTTTTATATAAGTATCCAAATCTTAGTTGGAGAAAATATATTGAATGTTAATCTAATGTGAAATACGGTAGATATCAAACAGAGTGAAGCAAATAGTTGTTTAACATGCATCATTCTGATCGCGATTTGATTTTGCTCACGTTCCCAGTATGGGTTGTGTGTATTCTCAGCCCGCGTTCATACGTCAGATACAATCTCCTGTGATATGTAATGCATGAGCACTGTTGAGCAGTCGCATACTGGAACGATACAATTATGCAGTGCATTCTGGTTCTCCTGTGGGGGTTTTGGCTAAGATTGCTTCGTACTACGATTTTGTGGTTACCTTCTGCACTAAAGATATTAATTTGTAATAGACTTATTTTACATATCCTTACCTGTTAGTCAAGTAAACTAGGTCAAATTGTTTTGTAATTGAATATATACAAAATCCCAGTTTGTTTCGAAACGTCTCGAGTTAGGTAACTTGGATATTCTGCCTGTCTAGGTTTGCTGATCGCGGGAAATATGCGCTCCCATGATCTTCTGCAAGCGACATTTGTTCTTTACAGCACTAATCGATAGAAGCTTTGCGAGGAAGTATGTTGCACACCCTTTTAGAGTCATATCAAAACCTTGGAGCTTGTTTAGATATATGTAACAAATCTGAGTCACCTAAGCAAAACCATTTGACAAATCAGGTTGCCGTTCTAATTATTGTTGAGATGCTCCAACTAAACGTATTCAAATAGCCTTATTCACTGACGAAATTTTAAGAGATATGAAAATTGACTAAATCTTTACTGGACAGAAATCTTTCAAGAATGACTTTTATTACTGACTTTAAGAAGCGCAAAATTTATTTACAAATAAACAACAAACGGTAGTACACGGGTCAAAAAGCATTCATTTATTTAAGCACATCAAACTCATCCTCTTCAAATGCTTTGCGTGCACGTCGGAGCTCTTCACTTAGTAGGAGCAACTCTTTCACTCGAGAAAATTTCTTGGGGTCACGTCGGACGAGATAAGTAACATCTTCAACAGAGATTTTTCCTGGTTTACCAATTCTTAATGCTTTTTTAGTCTACATTTGTCAGAAAGAGTATTTTTCAAAAAGAAAAAACAATTGTGTGAGCTTTCTAGAAATTATTGCAAAAAATAAGATTTTCGAAATGTCAGTGTATAAATCTATCAGACGGTTAGACTCGGAAAATTAGTGCGTAAACCAGCGTCCAAATTTACCAGCCGGTGTCGATGATCTTGACATCAATGTATCTACGGAGTTGACATTACCCAAAAGAGCATTACATTGATTTAACTAAATATCAATGAATCCTTAGCTTATACTGTGCTGTTTTATTGGTAAATATTTGTAATGGACAACTCCACCTGTAACTCTTCTACTACCGGTCCCAAGCCCGGGAAAAGGTGGAGGGCTTGGCATGGGGTCGGCAACCCTACTCCGTAGAAAAAAAACGCCAACAAATTAAACTCTACCGTAGGGGTTGAAGGGAAAATTATGACGCCTCATGAGGAAAGCCGAGATTCTTCGGAAGTCATGAGGCCGATGCCCCTTCTAACAACCAGAGCAACACTTGTTATAGGTAGATGGAACATCCGGAAATTGCAGGAGACCGGCAGTTCTGGGAATCAACCGAACCCAATGTGGACTAGATACATGAGAGATGCTCCACACACTCAGGGAGTTGCTCAGATACTGTTCAATGAAGCACGTAATGCACTCATTGTATGGGAATCTCGCAGATCCAGAATCATCAAACCATCATTCGAAACAAAGGAGGGTATCGCAATATGTCGTGGACGACATGGACTGACAAGGAGAAACGATCGAAAATTGGTAATAGGCGGCACATTATCCCAAACAAATGCATACACAAAGCTACATGTGTCTCACCGGGCCACAACGCGGAGAACCAAGTTGGTCATATTCGCATCAATAAAATATTCCGACGATCCATGGAGGATGTGAGATCCAAGAGAGGAGCTGATATAGCTTCGGATCACCACCTGGTGGTTGTCAAGATGAAACTGATGCTAAGAAACACTAGACAACCGAGAAACAGCAGTAAAAATGTTCAATACAACCCTCCTTCCAGGTACCAACAAAATCAAGATAGCTCTCAACAACACGTTACAAGCTTTACAGGATCTACTCAAAGAAACTTTTATGGAGAACAACTGGAAAGGTATCAAAGAAGCACTAACTACAACGTGTCAAAAGCTTCTGAGTCGCAAGTAGCATCATCATAAGAAACGGGTATCCATCGAAACCCTAGACAAGGAAGAACAAGACCAATTGAGAGCAGCCGAACAAGGCACAAGCTGAATACATAGAAGCAAACAAGCAAAAACATTACAGTCGAAAAGCAGAAATACGTGGAAGAACTAGCAACGACAGCGGAAATGCTGCAAAAGTAGGAAATATGAAACAATTATATGACACAACGAAGGAATTATTAGGGAGATATTGTAAACCAGAGACCGGTCAAAGACAAAGAAGTCACTAAGATTCAAGAACAGAGAGATACATGGGTAGAGTACTTTGAAGAAATCTTGAATAGACAGCTCCAATGAATCTACTGGATACCGAGACAGCACACACGGAACTTTCAATGATGTCACTCCGCCAACAAACGAAGAAATCAGGATGGCTATCAGACAAATCAAAAGTGGGAAAGCAGCGGGACCTGACAAAATACCAACTAACATAAGCTTTCCAATTAAGGACCGGAGTCAGAAAAGGCTGTCTACTCTCCCCCTTCCTCTTCTGCTGGCCAACTGGATTCTGAAGACAACATCTGAAGGAAAACACGGAATACGATGAACAGCTCAGGACCAATTAGACGATTCGAACTTCGTAGATGAAATAGTCCTCCTATCTCATACACACGAAAAAATGCAGATGAAGACAACTAGTGTAGCACTAGCATCTGAATCAGTAGGCCTCAACATACACAAAGGAAAACGCAATAACCTCAAATACAACACGGAAAATACCAATCCAATCACACTTGATGGAGAAACTTGAAGATTTGGAATCCTTCACATACCTGGGAAGCATCATCGATGAACAAGGAGGATCGGATGCAGATGTAAAGGTTGAATTGGCAAAGCAAGGGCCGCATTCCTACAATTGAAGAATATATGGAACTCAAAACAACATTCAACCATTATCAAAGTCACAATCTTCAATACGAACGTCAAGTTAGTTTTACTATACGGAGCTGAAACTTGGAGACCTAACACAACCATCATTAAGAAGGTACAAGTATTTATAATTAGTTATCTACGCAAGGTACCCAACATCCATTGGCCGGATATAGACTTTTGTGGGCGAGAACAAACCAGCTTTCAGCTAAAGAGAAAATTAGGAAAAGACGTTGGAAGGGATATGATACGCATTACGGAAATCACCAAACTGCATCACAAAGCAAGCCTTTACTTGGAGTCCTGAAGGGAAGCGGAAAAGAGGAAGACATAAGAACACATCACGTCGTGAAATAGATGCCGATATGAAAAAGATGAATAACAACTGGAAAGGATCGCCCATGACAGGGTTGGATGGAGAGCGCTGGTGAGCGGTCTATTCTCCGCAACGAGGAGTAACAGGCGTAAGTAAGTTAAAATATCAAATAATGATAGTAACGGAAAAGAGTCCAACCATGTCGAGAGCGAGACAGTTACTCTAAAATAGAATTTAACCGGGATTACGCAATATCACTGATCGACTGAAGTTAGACAAACATATAATTGGATGCTAACTCAGTGTTCAGAGAGTTACCCGACCGTAGCTGCTACCTTGACGTAGTGGTCGGGCATGCCTATCGTAATGACCCAACCGAGCTATATTGGCTGCAACATATGTTACTGCAGGTTCTATCATGCCAAGCAGGTCGATTGGAGAACGGTAAGATTAAAAGCAGCAACTCAAGGTCTGAGGGCGAAGTCGTACTGCTGACTGTACAGAGATGTGACAGCAGTAAGGTGTTTCCCTCGGACAACCAGCATCTGCAGCGTTGCTGCCTTCTCACAAGGAACGAAGTGGTTAGAAAAGGTTGACCCTAGAAATGTCACACCTGACCTTGCCTCACGGATTTCCGTCTTCGGCGGTAAGGCCTTTTGAAGAGCGGAGCTAACAAATTAAAAACTTCCCACAGAAAGGCCGTGCGCGACCAGCCTCAAGCAGTTGTCCCTTGGGCTCTGTGGTCACTCTCCCAGGTCTCCAAGACTAACACTAATCTGATTTCCTTTTCAGGTGCCTCAAGAAATACCCTTCCGCGGTGTGGGCAACCGGGAAGTGACACCAGTCCTCATACCCGTAACAGCACACTTCATGTATCTGGAAGTCCTGATGCTGCTTCCCGTGGCCTCGCTGGCGTAGGTATAGCATTGAGTCCTAGGGCACAACTAGCTCTCTTAGACTGGATTCCAGTAGACAGTCGTTTGTGCGCTGTCCGACTAAACGGAACAGTAAAGACTCGGAAAGATAGGGACAGTCGTCGTTGCCTCTTCGTCGTTTCTGCCTACTCTACCACTGACTGCAGCTCATGTGATGTAAAAGATGAGTTTTACAGAAAGCTTTTCGACGTTCTCCGAAAAGCTAGGCGTTCAGATTTAGTAATGGAGGCTGGGGACTTTAATGCTCAAGTTGATGTAGGTCCTCCGACTCTTTACAAAGTTGAAAAAGCTTTAGAAAATCTGAAGCGTGGGAGAGCAGCAGGCCCTGACAGTTTTACCCCTGATATTTTTAAGGATGGTGGTCCAGTATTAGCAGCGAGATTGACTGAGGTCTTAGGTAGAATCTGGGAATTGGACGTAATCCCGTCTGACTGGTCTCAATCACTGATTGTGCCAGTCTATAACAAAGGACAAAAGTCCTCCTGTGACAATCACAGAGGAATTAGTTTGACTAATATACTGTCTAAAATATTAGCTTCAGTAATACTTCGACGCCTAACCAAAGCTCGTGAAGAGCAGACTAGAGAAAACCAGGCTGGTTTTCGACCTGGACGTGGTTGTATAGATCAGATATTCACACTACGTCAGGTCCTAGAACATAGACACACATTCAGACGCCCCACAATGGTAGTATTTCTCGACTTTAAGGCAGCATTTGACTCGGTTGATCGTGAGGTTCTATGGCAGTGTTTGTCACTGAAAGGAGTACCAAAGAAGTACATTAACCTTATAAAGACTCTCTACTCGAACACAACTGGTAGAGTGAGAGCTTATGGCGAACTGTCATCAGAATTGATTACCTCAAGTGATGTTCGTCAGGGCTGTCCACTCTCTCCATTCTTGTTTAACTTTGTTGTTGACGTCCTTTTACAGATGACACTTTCCTCATCTAAGTTTCCAGTAATTGAACTTCTACCGGGAGATTCACTTATTGACTTAGAATATTCCGATGACATAGTTCTATTTGGTGAAGACGCTGACAAAATGCAGAGTTTGTTGACCACTCTAAGCAACAATGCAATCATGTTCGACATGCGATTCTCTACCTCGAAATGCAAAATGTTGCTTCAGGATTGGGTTGCGTCGTCACCCGAACTAGTGATAGGGAGTGAAGTAGTTAAGCGTGTCGACCGCTTCACTTATCTCGGAAGTCTCATCAGCCCTTGTGGTCTGGTGTGTGACGAAATCTCGGCACGGATACAGAAGTCTCGACTAGCTTTTGCCAACTTGCGTCATTTGTGGCGTAAGCGAGAAATCCGCCTATCAACCAAAGGACGTGTTTACTGTGCAGCAGTTCATTCCATCCTACTCTATGGCAGTGAAACATGGCCAGTAAGAGTAGAGGATATTCGTAGGTTACTAGTATTTGATCATAGGTGTCTTCGAAACATGGCTCAAAATCGTTTGCGATAGCGCAGGTGCATCCACTCTCTGTGTTCTCTCAAACTCTAATCTTCTGTATTCTTCATGTCCTGGGACCACCGAGTAAGTAATGCAGTTGTTAGGAAACGGGTACTAGGTAAGGATGGTAAATCAATTGATGAAGTAGTGAAACTTAATCAGTTGAGATGTCTGGGACACGTGTTGTGTATGCCCGACCACTGGCTGCCCCGACGTGCTATGTTTTATGGTGTTGGAGTAGGTTGGAAGAAAGCTAGGGGTGGTCAGACCAAAACATGGCACAAATCCATGAAGTCACTGACAAGTGGACTGAGCCATATTGGTAGGTGTAGACTACCTGGTTGGCGACCGCGAGATGATAGCAACCGATGGTTAGAGATCTTGAATGACATGGCTCAAAATCGTTCGCAATGGCGCAGGTGCATCCACTCTTTGTGTTCTCCCAAAATCTAATCTTCTGTATTCTTCATGTCCTTTATTTCTTTCCAAATTTATTCCACTGGATTATACTCTTTGAATAACATCATCAAACCCTAATGTTCCCGATTACTACTTATACTTCAGTACCTATACCACTATGGAATTTGAATCGATAACTGAATCTCTGTGCTAATGTGGTATGGCAACTCGAATTGATGTACGTACGAACGAAGTTCAACGTTGTTACTGACTGACTCACTGACTTCAGAGGGTTGAGAACCCCGTGCTTGAACAAAACTGATGTCGGGTGCTTCCTTGTTCTGAATAGTTGTTTAACTAAGATCAGGTAGAGATGGATGCTACAAATTCATATATTCTACACAAGTCACAAATGTTAATGATAACCACTGTCATAATTGAGAAACTACTACACCGGTTAATATAACATTCGAAATAGTAATATCGATTGTTTTCGAGATTAGGCCTGTTATATTTTGATGACTACTTATTCAAAATATAGATCTTTATTAATAAATAATTTATTTGTAATATCCCAGTGAGTATAAAAATGAGATTTTCTGACGTTTCATGACTTATAATATATACATAATATAATACAAATTTTTGATAAAGTATCGCGATTGTAAACAGTGCATTCTTAATCACCAAATCTTTCCGCATATCTTGTTTGGTTACACGCCACGCGTATGTGACTTCATTAACAATACATACATACACTAATTCTTTATCTACAAATATACCTTAAACCTGACAGCGATATACCCATAACGATTGAATGCGCCATAACAAAAACGTGATTTGTTGTGTGATAATGGTTTGTATTTTAGCGCGAACAACGGGTTGTGATTACATATCGGGCAATCAAACTACTGGAAAACAAAATATATTTAACCGATCCCGGTGCATGCCAACAAATAAACTGTACAATATACAATTGTACAATTTGAACAAAACGAAGCTACTACAATCTATCTTCATTGCGTGTTCAGGTTTTTAACGATCGACTTATATCATAAATATGTATGTGGTATTTTCACAACAACTTTGAAAACGAAGCATGTTGATAAAATTAATTGAAAATCCATACACATGAAAGATAAAAAGTCGACTTAATACACTAAGATGAAGATTTTAAAGTCGTAAGTATAATTACAACTCGTTACGTAACTAATATCTATTAATTACGTAATTTCTCGAATCAGATAAACCTTTTCGTGTGTACTTAGGATTTTCTCGATATAAAAACATCGCTTTTCTTGATTCATATAAATCAGCATAAAATTATTAGGATCTATAACATTAGAACCTAGTCTTATAATAATAACATTGTTAAACTGGAAGTACAAAAGCTCAAAATTAAGTTATGTATATTATTCATCATAAGAAGTTTTGTTTTACCTTGAAACGGGACACTCAATGTTGCTTACCATTTCTATAATATGTCGAACTGCTATATCTTCAACTAAGGAAACAGTTTCAGGTAATGGATTTTCATCATCTCCAAAAGCATACAACATTGAGCGTACTAAAACAGAAATTAAATTTGTAATACCAGAAAAATAGATGTTACTTTCACGAGAAAACATTCGCTTCTTTCCACGATCATAAGTCGAATCTTGTTCTTCCTCATCCTCTAGCAGCTAAAAAACATTAAGGTACGGTTTTAATATTCGACATTACTAGAATAAATATAAATCCTGTGGCCAAACTTTCACCTTGTTCCATGACAAATTAGTGCTAAATTTCTTTCTTTTAAGATCATAGTTATTTTTATTTCTGTTCTTAACTTTCAATACGATTACATAAAAAGGTGAATAAGAAATTAGTAGTATAATTCTCATAGAGACGTCCAAATTTAGTACATGGACTTAAAAGTAGGATAGGTGAAACCAATGTTTTATTACCATGATTTATATACAAACGCTTTGAAAATAAATCCATTTCAATGACAGCTAGGTAAAATTCAGTGTTTTCGAAGTCTTGTCATATGCGTATATGACCTACTGATACATGGGATTGTTCACTAATTAGAAAGCCATTGAGATCGAATTAAACCACAGTTCGATTTTGTCTAGAGTAGTTAAATAATACGAACCAAAAGCACTGTTTTTTTTCCTAGATAAAAATCTTTTGAAATATGAACGTATGTTAAGCACATCAATTGTACAGAAAGTTACCACAACTCACACTTGAAGTAAACTCAAGGTCACTCATTTAGGCTAAAAAGTAAAAAACATAAAAGTAGGAAATACAATCAAAATCAAATTTGATAAACTACTTCAACGTAATCCGTCTGATATAGAGAAAAACTACCTCTGTATCATCCAGAGGTGCCTCACAGAGTCTAACTGCTATAATCGGCAAGGTTACCTTGTTAAAATGATACTTAAAAAGTTTCGAGCCTTATTGCTTCTATCACTCATCATAAAAAAATTTCAATTTATTACTATTTGGAAATTTGAAGCTTCCTTTGACTGGTGTTTTTATAAAACAATATAATATTGACATTTCAAAACCCCACTGCATCATCCGCCCCCAAATGCCCTGGTATGGCCGAGAGCGGGGAGGGTTCGCCCTCCCTCTCGAAATACTCCCACACGGCCACGCGTATACAGCCTCTGCCAGGGAAGTCCTACTCACTGCCTTCTCGTGGCATTACTGTTGTTTACGAAAATGAGAGGACGAAAAGCGAACGTCCGGCGCTATAACCGGTTCCAATTCTATGGCGCACATGGGCTCCAGTATCCTGAAGGAACAAATGGCGTATGAACCAACTTTTGGTCACCAGCTTCCATGGGACTGCATCTCCTCACGATGCTCCACTGCCTTGTGGACCAGACCCTTAGGTCAAAGGCTCGGGGTGCGGCCCCCTAAGAAAACCACCTGCTTCGGTCTGGGCGCCCGGGCAGTATCTCAGCCCACACACTAAAACCATGATGAACTATCTGCTTATAGAAAATATTCGTTTCTCTCCGACTAACATTGAAATGACTGGTATTATTATTATTATCATTATTATTATTATTTACTACGTCATTTATTCACTATCTCCTATTTCTACTTTTTGTATCCGTTTCGACTCAGACAGCAGCTCGCCTATGGTAAAAATTCAGCTTTATCTAAACGTTCTCGAGTCACTGCCTGGTTGAAAACTGTATGTTATCACCGAATATGAGTACTGAAGCAGTTTTTCTGAAACCACGTGCACCATTCAAACTGGCTACCTTCAACGTTCGCACACTTATGCAGGTCGGACAACAGATAGGACTGGCTATGTCTTTGGAAAGTCTTAATATTGACGTGTGTTGTCTATCCGAGACCCGTATTCAAGACTCTGGTGAAGTACTACAAGTTCGCTCTCCATCTGTCGCTTCAAAAAGCTTGTTTTATGTGCGTTTATCCGGGGACCCTGTGGCATCTTCGTCTGGTCTTGCTGGCGTTGGTGTCGCACTAAGCGCAAGAGCTGAGGCAGCACTGACCGATTGGATCCTCAATAACAATCGGTTATGTGGCGTTAGATTAGAAAGCTTCGTCAAAATGCGAGGAAATCGGTGTGAGAAACGATGTCTTTTGGTCATCTCCGCCTATGCTCCGACGGATTGCGGTCTGGATGCAATCAAGGACGAGTTCTACCATCAGCTAACTGTTCTTCTCCAGAAAGTGCGTTCGACAGATATTGTAGTACTAGCTGGAGACTTGAATGCTCAGGTCGGGCGTCTAGGCACAGAAGAGAGTCGTTTAGGTGGCCGATGGGGACTCGTTGGTCGCAGGACAGATAACGGGGAACGTCTACTGCAACTATGCACAGACCACAACCTGTTTCTGGCTAGCACTAACTTTCGGCACAGTCATCGCCGATGTGCCACCTGGCGTCCCCCTTCTGCATCTCAAGCCTGGACTCAGATTGATCACATCGCGATCAGCTACCGCTGGCGCGGTTGTGTACAAGACTGCCGCTCCTTTTGGAGTACCTATCTGGAATCTGATCATGTTCTGGTCTGCGCCAATCTTACCTTACTTTTCAGTGGACAACGAAGTGACCGCCACCAAAGGATTGATGTTAGCAAGCTGGCTGCAACTTCTGTTGCTAGTAAGTACCGAAACGAGCTAGCTTCTAGGCTAGCTACCATTCCACCGAAATGTATAGATGAGCATTGATTTCAATTGTATGACGCCATGAAAATGACGGGTAAAGTCTGTTGTGGGTTCGCGAAACGTCCCGCTTACAAGCACTGGGTTTCTTCTGGTTCCTTACAACTGATCGAAGCCCGTCGGTCTACTCCGGGTGACCGTGAGTTTGACCACAGACGAAGGATGTTACGTAATGAAATCGAGCAAAGCTTGCGTAAGGACCGAGAAGCCTGGTGGTCGGAGCGTGCCAGTGAGTTGGAAGCAGCAGCTGCATCTGGTAATTACCGGAAGCTCTTCCAACTCATCCGAGCCACTGGCAGCAAGAAGTCTGGTGTGAGCGAAACAATCTGCGAGGATGACGGAACGCCAATCACTAACATCCATCGACGTCTTGGACGATGGGCAGAATTCTTTGAAGGGCAGTTCAACTGGCCTGCTGCTCCGGCAACATCAGTCAGACTGTCCTGCCCTCCATGGCCGGTGACGACTGATCCACCAAATGAGGCGGAAGTCCGCAAGGAACTCCAACTCTTGAAACGTTACAAATCACCGGGCCCAGACGACTTACCTCCGGCTCTTTTTAAAGATGGTGGTGACATTCTGACTAAGGGACTGACGACGTTGTTTACAAAGATCTGGGAACTAGAGAGTGTACCAACGTCATGGAATGAGTTGATAGTTGTCCCTATCTTTAAAAAGGCTTCACGTCGTTCCTGTAACAACTATCGGGGGATAAGTCTACTTCCGATTGCGTCCAAGCTATTGGCTCCCGTCATACTTCGTAGGTTGTTCAGAACCCGAGAAGGATTGACTCGCGAGGAGCAGGCTGGGTTTTGTTCTGGTCGAGGATGTATTGATCATATCTTCACCCTCTGCCAAGTGTTAGAACACCGCCATACTTATCAAAGGCCAACAATCGTAGTGTTTCTTGATATCAAGGCTGCTTTCGATTCGTTGGACAGAACTGTTCTCTGGGATTGTCTATTGAAGAAGGGTGTGCCTGAGAAGTTTATTAACATCCTAAAAGCTTTATACACAAACACCTCAGGCAGAGTGAGGGCATACAACCACCTTTCTCCACTATTCCATTCAAGCAGTGGAGTTAGGCAGGGTTGCCCAATCTCACCATTCCTCTTCAACTTTGCCATCGATGACATTTTGGAAACAGCTCTGATGGACGCGTGTAATGGCGGTGTGGATCTGTTACCTGGAGAAAGACTCTCTGTGTTCGATCATCGTTGTCTCCGAAGGATTGCTGGCATCCAGTGGCAACACCATGTCAGTAATGCAGAGGTTCGGCATCGAGTGTTCGGTCACAGAGACGATAATGAAATTGGTGTCACCATCTTGAAACACCGACTTCGGTGGCTTGGACATGTTCTACGAATGTCGTCCCAGAGAATTCCACGTCGTGCATTATTTGCCGACTCTGGGACTGGTTGGAAAAAGCGGAGAGGTGGTCAGTATATGACATGGTGTCGTGGTATGAAAGAAAGCTGCAAAGGGCTGACTTGTGTTGGTCCTTCACGACTCCCTGGTTGGGGTCCGAGATACGGTGTAACGCAGTGGCTAGAGACGTTATCAGATATGGCTCAGAATAGAAGCCAGTGGCGATCCTGCTGTTACCTTCTTTTACTTTCTTCATAAAAAGTGGTTGTATCTTCCTTAACTGAAAGATCTCTTCTGATTGTACCTTTTCGTTATCCCCATCATTGTTCTCTCTCTCTTTTTTTTATAATTCCCCACGTTCATTACTTTTTTTTCTCCTTCTCTTCAAATTATCATTGTTTTATGTGGCGCATATATATTTGGTGCCCCCCTGTACCAATATTTATGTGTTCAAATAAATAAATAAATAAATAAAATAATCTGTATCATCTTGTTGATATTTACATTATCATTTGTTCAACAGACGAATGTTACAAATCTAAATAAATAGGATTCGAAGTAGCATCGTCAATATTTTTCATCTTGCTACGACTAAGTGAACCGAATCTATTATCAGGTATATTGAACCACGTTACACCAACTCAAGGTTTGAGTTAGTAAAATTTCGATCGGTGTACTACAAAAGCCGGCAGTTGAAAGGATAAGAAAGTCATGGCTGATATTAGTATTAATTAACAAAGATTATATATAATCTGAAACTACAAGAAACGAAATACCACTTCACTCAGGACATCCTTTGTTTTAGAATATGAGGAAAAAAGAGAAACACGTGGTAATATTTTATTTTGAATTATATTTTACACAAACAGAGCTACATTTGAATAAAAAAAAGATGAGGTAAGAATCACAGTTCAGCTACTAAAAAGTACGAGATAAAATATGTGTGAAGTGAGAAGTGTACACGCAAAGATAGGAACATATAAACAAATATTAAACAGATTAGATTCGGATTATCACATAGCTGCATAATAATACATAACCACTTTCGTATAGAATACACATACACAATGAATAATTAGTAAGACACTACCATAAATTAACTGAGATTTGAACTAATTATAAACCACACGTCATGGTGACAGCACCATAAAAATTTTAATATTTGCAGACAGTCATATACAAGAAAGCAGTCAGACATCAAATAACAAAATAATGAAACACACAATAGAAGAGTAGCATCATAAAATCAATCATTTTTGATAATCTCACTACTAATCCAACAAGTTCGTAAACCACATCTCCATATTATTATGAATGAAAAAAAAGACTAATAATAATAATAGCAACAATAATGGATATAAGAGTGAATAAAAAATTTTCAATAACCGGTAACTTGTTTACAAACTGACGACCATTAAACACTATCACAATTACTTATGTTAATGTTAAAATCAATTGGTCAAGAATTTCATTTGTTAAGTCTACGGTAATTAACAGACGTCTAATAAAACAAACTGCATGTAAAATGATCAAGGCACGTAGTTATTTGAATAAAGCATTCAACAACAGTAACGAATACGAATGAAGGTGAACACGAAAAATCATGTTCCAAAAGGTTAGTAAAGGTGAACAAAACAAGAGACTGATTTAAATGTATCAAGGAAGATAGTTACATTGACTCCAAAATACATTCATGACTTCAAATACCTGAAACAAATAAGTATTATAAACACTGATATATATGGAAGCCCATAAAAATCTTAATCTGCAACAATAACCAGTATACACAAAAATTAAAGCAACATCCTAAATAAATATGGTCACATAACTATCGAAATAAACTGTAAAATTAAAATAAAATAATCCTATGGTATATCGGCAAGAACACTGAACTTTTTAACGATAAACCTTCAACAGGAGTTTATACTAAATTTTATTTCAATACTTGTATTCCAAATAATATTTGCTTTTTTAAACTTTTGATTTTTCGACTAGGAACTGAGTCAAAGTTGTAATATTAACGTAAAATGTATCAAGATTTATAAACTATGCTGACTATTTTTACTATGGTAATGTTGTTCTCGTAAGCAGTTGAAAATACGAGGCGTTGATGACATGAATGCAGCTTTCAAGTAATCCATGAAATTCATCAACTGCCTAACTCATAAATAACAGAATTTCAAAATACTCTTCGGACAATATCATTTATTTACTACTAAAATCCTGAACAAATTTCTTACATCTCTATTCACTAATAAATTTTGAAGTTTTAGAACATAAAAGTGAGTTTAACGTCGAACCCCAACAGCTCGTTTATTTGCATTGATTAATGGAGTGGACTCAATGTTTAGAACTACTCTTTAATTGGCATCTCACATATACTAGCATATAACCACGTATACTT